ATATATATATATATATATATATATATATATATATATATATATATATATATATATATATATATATATATATATATATATATATATATGTATGTATTCAGAGCATCATAATTTAGAGCTATATAAAAAATTATAGCCAAAATAATTAATTTTAAACTATGTATTTTTCATAACTTTTTAGATGCCTTGACTATTTATTTCAATTGTATAAATCTTTATTTTCAGGTCAAATTCAAAAAAAGATTAACTAAAACATTATTAGTTATAGCCAAACAAAAAACTTAGCCTAAATAATGTAGTTCTATCCAAGTTTTATTATAAATAAAAAAATTTATCTAAAAAAGTAACATACTTAAAAGGGTAAAAATATATTTATTTTTTTAAAAAAGGCCACATATACAGAAAAATTCACATGGCAGGCGAGTGCAGCCACCCAATTTGCCACATCAGCGTCCAGGGGGGTAATGACTCTCAAAAAGCCTAGTTGAGGGGGTTAATTAAGACCACAAATAGTTTAAGGCTGTAACTAATAATTCGTGACAAGTTTAGGGGGGTGATAAGGCATTTTGCCTATTATCTTCTATTTGAATTTCATTTTTTATTTCCTTCAAACAAATTCTATCTTGATTTCCATGAATACAAAGAAGAAAAATTGATGAAGATTACATGAAAACGATCAAATCGGAAAATAGTCGGCTTGTTGAGGCGATGAAAAAGTCAAGTAACTCAAGAAATGAAGCTTCGAGACAAAAAGAATACAAAGAAGAAAATAAATTTTTATTGACGAACTTGAATTCCATTGACGATCCAAATCTTTGTGAATTTTTGCGACAAGAACAAAAACGAATAATCAATAAAATAAGTCAACAATTTCAACAATCACAAGCACAACGATCTTCTACCCCATTCTCTCAGTTTTTTTATAATTTTGGTGCACCTGGAAATGACATAGGGGATTACTAAACTTATGTTTTATGTTTTTTTAATTTAATTTCAATTTTAATGTATCCTCCTTTGATGTACTTTAGTTATAATGTATTTTTATTTTATGTATTGTTAATTTTTCTTTTTTAGTAAAATGACTAGAGAGGGTAATAGGGGATTTCAGCAGCCAGCAATCTTTGCATTTTCCAGAGAAACTTCTTTCAACTTTCCACGTACTCATCTGTGAGAAAAGATTTCTACGGTTCAAAAACGTTCTACTTCGACCAAGTTTTTGAGAACCCATAGAGTAGGTTAATGTAGGAAACTTCTATGATCATACCTCCTTTTATAGATTGCAATATGTTTTGAATATATTTTTTTAAATGGGGAACTATTTAAAAATTCTGCTTTCCATAGGGAATTGAAGAAAAAGATGAGAAAAAGAAAACAACGAGAATCAAATAGGTTGTTTTTTTTATATATACTTTTAATCTGCGCCAGAAATTATTTATATTCAGTAGCCGAAAAAGTATATAATATTTATAAAATTTTTATATATAACATACAAAATGTATATATATACAAAAAAATATACATTTTTCGGCTATTATTTTGAGAGTGATTATACAGTGTCATTTTTTCAATCGAATATCACTATATTAGAACGACTCTTGCTCAAACTATTAAACTTCTTTGTTTTCCGAGCTAATTTTATACAGCCAAAATTCCTATAATGTTGGTTATAATCCTCCAGAGAAGCTTAGCATGGATTTCGTCTAACGAAGATGCCTATCAATAAGTCCCTATCTTTAGGTTTGTTATGGGAAATTTTTTCATTTAAATATCAAATTACTGTATATATAAGGGAATAAAAATAATTCAGTTTTAGTCATAATCCTTGCTTTTCCTGAGGGAAAAACTTCGCTAACTACTCTAGGAGTTAGGAGTCCTCTTCCCGTGTCCTATATGACAATTTTGAATTTTCATAAAACTTAGTATTAAATGATAATATAAATTTGTTTAACTTGTTATGATATTCCAAGAAAGTCTGGCAAACTTGGAAAAGAAAGCGTGTAACTGCCAACGTGTACGAGGTGGGAAATTTGAAGGTCTCAAACTCCTGAAATCAGCCGCTTCCTTTGCTCCAAACTAGGGGTGTCAAACGAACGGAGTCGGGTTGGATATGGTACGGGTCGAAATCGAATAATCCAAAAATAAATAAATTATCTGATGCGACTTATATTTTATACGGATAAACAACAACAATAACAACAACAACATCCCAGTATAATTCCACAAGTGGGATCTGGGGAGACTAATATGTACGCAGACCTTACCCCTACCCCGAGGGGCAGAGAGGCTGTTTCCAGGAGACCCTCGGCTCAAGAAAGCAAGTAAGCAACAAGAGACAATATATTAGTACTATCAATAGAGTCATAATAAAATAACATAATATACATACCATAAAATAACACAAAATAGCAGCAGTATAACAATATAGGAAATACGATATTTTATACGGATAAAAAATGAGTTAACGGACGGATAATTTAAATATCCATATTATCCATGACATATTGAATATGTTCAACCTATTTTCTAAAAATTCATTATCCAACTTCATTTTTTAATATTGGCTAAAACTGTTTTTCTTTATCCATTTTGCCACACTATTCCAAAGTAACAAAAAAAATCGAACACTTGATTCACACTGATCATGGGAAACACACCGCAAAAGCTAGGAAAAAATCATTCAGAAAAAAACCAAGAACACGAATTACAAGTGACAGAATTACCAAATGAACCTCAAAATCTCACCTGCGAAATTTGTATCGAGCCTATATTGCTACCCAACACAAATTTCAAGAACCAAAATCTCTGTGTTCATCCATTCTGTACCGACTGTATCATTAAGTATATCACTATCAAGCTTGAGGACAACATCGGCAACATTCCATGTCCCTCTCTGAATTGTAACCAGCTTTTGGACCCCATATCCTGTCGGAATCTCGTTGATCCCCAGCTGTTTGTTAAATGGTGTGACGTGTTGTGTGAGTCTGCAATATTAGGGTTGGCGCGGTGTTACTGCCCAAATCAGAATTGTTCGGCTTTGATTTTGGATGAGTGCGGTGGGAATGCGAAGCGATCGAAGTGTCCAAATTGCAAGAGGTTATTTTGCTTTAAGTGCAAGCTTCCATGGCACGCTGGGTTACGCTGTGGGGAACTTAGGCATAGAAACGACGTAGCTTTTCGTGTGCTTGCTAAGCATAATAATTGGAAGAGGTGTCCTCAGTGTCGCTACTTCGTTGAACGTATTCAAGGTTGCAACTTTGTCCGTTGCAGGTTAGTTTGCTGTTTCCTCTCCTCTTTCTTTTTTTAAGTATAAATTCTCTGTATTCTTTGCTTACGGTTATATGTTAATAGAGATATATGAAAACTCTCATGTTTAATTGGGATGGATTACAACTTCTAGGGATAGGATTAGGGAGTGTTAAAATCCTATTGTGGGCTTTCTACGATACTCATCCGGATACAGCTTGTTTGGATGAATGTTATGTATCATTTCATAATGTATCGTATACTATTGTATTGTATCGTTGTGATATATACAATGTTTGGATAGATTATGTTATTTTCCGTCGTTTCATGATATTATGCACCAATAATATGAAGCATAAACTTGCAATATTATAAAGAAAACATAAGGTAGGAGGTATAATTATTATATATATATAAAAGGTAGGGTAAATGATAAAATGATATTATTTAATAATATGGAAGAGCAAGGTGAGAGGAAAAAATAAGGAAACGATGTGACCACACCAAATCGGTCGTTCCATAAAGTGGCACTTTTCGTCGTTACGTAACGACGGATTTAACACGATACAATAAACTTTAAATAACAATCAAAACAAACATTGTATTTAATGTAACGATGCGATACAATACAACAGGTAACAACCATCAAAACAAGCTTTGGGTACCTGAAGCCAAATGATTAAACAAAAAAAACTGGGAGAGAGAAAAGGACTTGGGTGAAACAATCATGCAAATAGTTGGTGTTGAATTGAAATGGGGCGAAATAGAGCAGAAGTTTGGGATTGAGGCGCAGGTGATTGATTGATAAACTCTAGGAAAGTAATTGTGGACAGCACAGTAAAGGCAGGATTACATTTATAACCAAAAGAGAGAGGGAAAAAATGTAATTTTAATCCCTCCCCTGCATCCAAGACTCTCTGGAGTGAGGACTAAAAAGCTGTTGTTTGGTACCAGAATCGTTAGCTATCTTTCACTATAAACCTAGTCAGTAAATTTTTTAAGACCAGTATTTCTTCCTCGTGGCGTTTCAGTATCTGCCTAGCCGACTTGAAAATGGTGCAATATCGATTATTTGAATCAGGAATTGCATATTTCTATATTTTCATAAATAGGGATGAACTGCTAATATGCTGCTGATTGGTGAGCTTCAAAATAATCTAGCAATTATAGACGTTCTACATACAATGTTTGTCTACAGGTACGAAGGGTACAAGGAGTTGCCTGTGGAAGCACTCTATAGTTTCTGAGCGTACTTGTACATCTCTAATATGAGCCGAAGAATTATCTTATAGATGATTAATATGAGCTAAAATTACCTAATATATCTCTAATGCCACTTAATTCGATAAGATGCCCAGCATTCTCAGACCTCAGTTTCCACTAATATGAGATTTTAGTTGCTATATATTTTTCTTTGTTGGCATTAATAGGTGTTGAGCATATCGACTGTTATAGGGAAGACGAACTGGGCATACGGACAACAAAGCATTTGAATCCCCTAAACTAGATCATGTATCTATATGTTGATCTACCTAATTAAGCCTTTCTAATGGTCCAATCAATTTTTTCCTGTAGTAGCCACACCTTTTCTTCACAAGTTTTTCAAGTACTTGGCTCCAACTGAATGCTTCTTTCCTCACCACTTTACATGTTTACTTTTCAACTATGTTCACTTCTCCGTACAAGTTTATCCGCGGAATAAACATGGGAGAAGTCAGCAGCCATGAACGCTGAACATGGGATTTCATGTGAGAAACCACAAAAGGAAAAAAGAAAAGAAGAGCCTATGAATCCAAATAAATGATATGGGAGGAAAAGAAGTTGCTCATTATATATATATATATATATATATATATATATATATATATATATATATATATATAAATATACCAGGTTTATGACATAAGTTATCAGCTCTTCTCATGATTTAATATACTCTCCTATGCATATCTTCCATTCTTCTGGTTTTGTTCAGGTCTGAGGCCTTATAAAGGAAGCAGACCTTGAAAAAGATATATATTGATTGATAATTGTCACACTTGTGCTTTGTTAAAAAATTGCACTCTTTCTGGAATTCAAAAAATTACTACTAACTCTTTTGATATTAAACCATAAGAAGTGGAGAAAGATTTCAAGATTCAAGTGTGTTACTTTAATCGGATTCTCTTCTCATCTGGATGTAGGTGTGATGCCTATTTCTGCTACAACTGTGGAAGACGAGCTAATGGGCACTCGTGTGATTATTGTAATTCTAGGTGCTTCAATTTGCCATTCCTTTTGTTATTATCCTACTTTTCTTTTTCATCTTTTTGAAGGTTTATAAACTAGACTAGTGTATACATTTATTACTTTGAGGTTCAGTGATAAATATCAGAATATTTGCTCGTTGTGTGCACTTGAGGCAGAGAAAACAGCATAAACAGAAACCACAAGGAAGTTTGTACAGATAGAATAAGAAGTTTTGAATGTTTCCATAAACCTCATCACCTATTTCAAATCTTGATACAAAATCTCCTTTTCCCACCACAACACCAGCCATGTCACAACCTGTATAAACATCCTGATATTCATCATGATATGTTTGCTGAATCAGAGGCGGACGCAACATGTGTTCCATAAGTTCAGATGAATCCAGCATTTTTTCTACTGAACTTACATATATAGGTGAAGAATCGCTAAATGTCAATCAATATAAATTCTGGATCCATAATTTCAAAATTGCAATGAATTCAGTGGTTTCTACTATGTTGATCTGCCAAAATTAGTCTTGTTAATAATCCAATCAATATTTCACTGGAGTAGCCAGACCTTTTCTTCACATGTTTTTCAAGTTTTCGGCTCTAATTGAATGCTTATTTCCTCACCAATTGAAATGTTTACTTTTCAACTGTGTTTACTTTTACGCACAAGTTTATCCTGTTACTTGATTGTGTTTACTTTCCTTCGCGAAATAAACATGGGAGAAGTTAGCAGCTATGAATGTTGAAGCCAAATAAATGATTTGGGAGGAAAAGAAGTTGCTCATTAGATTATTTTTTTAATATACCAGGTTTATGACATAAGATATCAGCTTATTAGATGCTTAATTTGTGTGTATTCTAATTCCTCTCATGATTCTGCTATTTGTGTTTCGTATCATGATTTAATGTACTCTCCTATGCATATCTTCCATTCTTCTGGGTTTTTTCAGTTCTGAGAACTTATAAAGGAAGCATGCATTGAAATAGATATATGTTGTTTGAATTTTGATTGATAATAAACCATAAGTGGAGAAAGGGTTCAACTTTCAGGTGTGTTACTATAAATAATCTAATTTTCTTTTCATCTGGGTGTAGGTGTGGTGCCCTTTCTTGCTACAACTGCAACAGACGAGTTAATGGATACTCGTGTGATTGTGTTTATCGGTTCTTCAAAATTACCATATGTTTTCTGGTTGCTTTTGTTATTATCCTACTTCTCTTTTTCCCCTTGTAGAAGGTTTAAAAACTAGACTTGTGTATACATTTATTACTTTGAGGTTCAGTGATAAATATTAGAATTGTGTATACATTTATGCTCGTTGTGTGCACTTGAGGCAGAGAAAACAGCATGAACAAGAAAATTAGAAACCACAAGGAAGTTTGTACAGATGGAACCTACTATAAACTCTGCTAATGTTCCAGCTGCTTTATTTTATCAAAGGTGAAATTGTGAATGTTCTGATAAACCTCATTACCTAATTCAGATCTTGTTACATAATCTCCTTTCCCGCTATAACACCAGCCATGTCACAACCTGCACAAATATCCTGATATTCTTGTGCAATGAATACAGTGGTAAGAACATAAAATTAACCTATCAAGTTTAAATTCTGATCCGCCTCTGGTTGTTAATAGGCTCTTACATGTAGTTTTTAGTTTACAAAAATCGTGCTCCCTGCAGGCTGCAAGTGATGGTCCTCCTCTCTAAGCTATTTTAAGGCTGGGAATGATTCTTGAGCTTGTGATCATAAGTACGGGTGGCAAAATGTTTAAAAGAAAAGAGTTTTTGGTAACAAATGTGAATATGACCATAACAACCAAAAATAGTTTTTACATCCTAAGAAGCCTATGGTGTCTGAATGGATCTAGACTCTAGATCTCCAAACAAAACAGCACATCTAGTTACATAGCTTCTGAATCAACAACTAGCTTTTTCTAGCTCTCCTTTTTCCATACAATGTCTCCAATCTGTCTACAATCTCTTTTAATTTGTTCATATACAAGGTTTATGTTTATATTTACTTCCCTAAAGATTTTCCAGTTTCTTGCTTGCCAAGTGTAGCACAACATGGCTCCCAATACAACAACTATGTCCTTTTGGACTTGGCTCCATCGTCTCCTTTTTTATCCATTCAATCACCTTACTTGTTTCACTGTTCTGAATTTTGATGCCCATCCAGCTGCTCAGCTTTTCCCTTAGATATGCTATCCACTTGCATTGTCCAAAGAAATAAGTCTGTGTCTTCAACTGTGTCTGATCACATAGGCAGCAGTGTTGATCATCTACTTGAAACTGTAGTCTCTGTATTCTTTCCTTGGTTAGCAGCTTGTTTTGACATGCCAACTACACTATAAATCTTTGTTTAGGAAGCATAAGCTAGGGGCCCAGCATATGTTGATAGCTTCTAGACATGGAATATTCTCCTGTTTTGGACAGCAGATATTTATCTCCTTGATACCATCCTGCAATTTGAACTTTGAGGGAGTTCAATTTCTTCCAATACCAGTTGCAGTCTCCTGTTGGAGTGTGTTCCCATATGTTTTCCTTGTCCTTCATGTATATACTATTAACCCATTTTACCCCTAGAATGTCTTTCTTTCTAGCTAATTGCCGTAATAGTTTATCAACAGCAGTAATGTTCCATTTACAGCAGCCTTTGATGCTTAAACCTCTATACTGCTTTGGAATACGAACCCTATCCCATGCTACAAGGTTAACCTTCCTTTTGTCCTCAGTAGCACTTGCACCCCATAGGAAGTCTCTGTATTTCTTATAACTTGCAAAAAAAGAAAATAGCTAACCATTCATATTATCCACTAAAAAATGGGTTGGATAATGAACTTATTAAAAACAGGTCAAATATGGATAAGAATGTGACGGCCCAAAGGGTCATCACCTGTTTTCTTATTCATTCAGTGCTTCCGAGGTCTTGAAAACCTCATTTAGAGTCGCCTCAATTTGCGTGCGCAGTCCGGGCGCGTAGCCGGAAAGTCTAAATATGAAATTCTGTGAAAAATACTAAGTTTTGATATTAAAATGAATAAATTTGACTTCGGTCAATATTTTGGGTAAACGGACCCGGACCCGTGATTTGACGGTCCCGGAGGGTCCGTAGGAAAATATGGGACTTGGGCATATGCCCGGAATCGAATTCCGAGGTCCCAAGCCCGAGAAATGAATTTTTGAGTAAATTATTTTTCTGAAATTGTTAAGGAAAAATAGAAATGATATTTGATTAGAATGTGTTGGTATCGGGCCCGTATTTTGGTTCCAACGTCCGGTACAGGTCTTATATATGATGTAAGATGTTTCTGTAAAGTTTGGTTAAATCGGACGTCGTTTGACGTGTTTCGGACTTGAAATCCTAAATGTGGAACTTGATGAAGTTTTGGAAAAATTCTTTGAATTTGAGGTTTAATTTGTTGATAATGATGTTATTTAGGCGATTTGATCGCTCGGATAAGTTTGTATGATGTGGTTGAGTTAGTTCATGTGTTTGGTTAGGAGCCCCGAGAGCTCGGGTGTGATTCGGATGTGTTTCGGCATGGTTCCAACCTTAGAGATGTTGCAGAAATGACTGCTGTTGGCTTTCCGGTGCTTTCCTCTATGCAATCGCATAAGAGGGGCCGCGATTGCATAGAGAAAACTTGAGGGGGTTTACAAATCCTTCTATGCGATCGCATTCTCCTCTCCGCGATTGCGATGTATAAAGCCAGCTTTCATTATTTTCCTTCTATGCGATCGCGTGTTATCGTCCGCGATCGCAGTGCTCAGAAACTCTACTCTATGCGATCGCAACCTTATGTACGCGATCGCAGTGCACAGCAGGCCTTACCCTATGCGATCGCAATCTCCTTCCAGCGATCGCGATGAACAAAATTCGCCCAGTTATTTTAATTCTTCAAAACAGAATGCAAACGAGATTTTCATAACACTTCTCAAACTCTTTCTTCTCCAAAGTTCTAGGTCGACCATTGAAGCATCCTTTCACCATTAACTCTTGAGTTAGTAATTTTTAACTCGTTTTCTTCATTTTCCATCAGTATCTATTGAATTCCTAGGCCTAAAACATGTAATTTAAGGTAGAAATTGGGAATTTGGGTAGAATTAGGGCTTTTTGATTTTTCTTGATTTAGACCTCGTTTTGGGGTCGAATTTGGAAATAAATTATATATTCGGGCTCGGTGGTGAATGGTGTATTTATTTTGGCCGAACTCGTATTTGACCAAGCGGCCGGTCGATTTTGAGTTTTTGGAAAAAATGATGGAAAAGCTATAATTAGGCATTGGGTTCGTATTGTTTAGCATTTATTGATGTATTGAAGTCATTATTGTATAGATACAATCGATTTGGAGCCGAATTCGAAAGGAAAGGCGGTTATTGAGGATTGAATTGGCCGTGGAAGTTTGAGGTAAGTGTTTGGTCTAACCTTAGCTTGAGGGATTAGGAGTTGAGTCCTATTTGCTATGTGGTAATTGTCGAGTACGACGTATAGGCATGGTGACGAGTATCTATATGTTGGTGTCTAGCATGACCGTGAGTCTTTAAATTATGAATATCTTGATTTCGTAGTAATTCTCTTGCCTTGGTGATGATTCCTATTGGTTGTGAAAAGCTTGTGAAAAGAAATTGTGACCCATGAACATCGAGGAGCGTTGGCTCAAGTTATATTACAATTGTGAACGTATATGAAATGGTTGAACCCTTTGGAGCATTGGCTCAAGTGGTAGAGTGAGTTATGAAATAAAAGTGAAAGGAAGAGAAAGAGTATTTAAATTGCTCCCTTGCCGGGATATTGTTGCTTATTGATTATTTCCCTTGCCGGGGCGTTTAGATTATTGATGTTGTACCCTTGCCGGGATTTAATTGTTTAATTGTGTTCCCTTGCCAGGATTTCTATTATTATTTTGTTTATTCCCTTGCCCCTTGTTTGTGATTGTTGTTTGGGTGAGGAAGAGTGTAAAGCACGAAGGGCGATGCCGTGCATTGTTTGTTTATTATGAGAAAAGAGTGTAAAGCACGAAGGGTGATGTCGTGCCGCACGATGTACCATTCTGTGCCAATTCTATTGATTATATGTGAGGAAAGAGAGTAAAAGCACGAAGGGTGATGCCGTGCACATTTTATTATTCTAATTGCTTGGTGAGGACGAGAGTAAAAGCACGAAGGGTGATGCCGTGCACTTGTCTTTGATTTTCCTGATTTTTGCAGATAATTGAGTCATGTTGTCCTTTACTTCTATTTATTGATTTTATTGTTGTTATCGGTTCAAGTGCATTAATTGTCTTATTCCACTATTACTGTGATTCTTTGTGTTGACATTTTCCTTTATTGTGTTACTTGTTATTATTAGCTCGAGGCATCCTTGCGCAACAGAATGCTTTGAAATTATGCTATAATTGCTACAGCTTTATGTGATTTAATTGCTACTTGACATTTAGCATACTAAATATTAAATTGCCTATTTGCTCCTTAAAGTCCATAATTAATTGCTACTTGTCTTTACTTATTTTTTTCTTCAGTGAGTCATAATTATTGTATACTTGTTGTCTTATGAATTCGTATAAATTGTTGCGTTTGTTGGAGTAAATTTCATGTGGAAGAACTGTTGTTTTAATGAAATGGGAGCGGGTCATACGCCTACCACGAGATTTAATAAAATGGGAGCGGGTGGTACGCCTACCACGAGATTTAATGAAATGGGAGCGGGTGGTACGCCTACCACGAGATTTAATGAAATGGGAGCGGGTGGTACGCCTACCACGAGATCTAATGAAATGGGAGCGGGTGGTACGCCTACCATGAGATATAATAAAATGGGATCGGGTTGCACGTGTGCAACAAGATGTGAAAAGAAAGTGAAATCTGCCTTTGTTTTCCTTATTCTTGCTAGTGGTTTGATTTTATTCCTTTATGGTACTCTTGATATTCTGTTTTACCTGTTATTCCCCGAAGCATGTTTCCCCCTCCCATCCTTACTTGCTTATTCCTGTTTTACTTTCCGTTGTACATTATATAACTGCACAGGTCTATGTGGTAGTCCTGTCTAGCCTCGTCACTACTTCGCCGAGGTTAGGCTAGGCACTTACCAGCACATGGGGTCGGTTGTGCTGATACTACACTCTATGCTCTTTTGCATAGATCCAGGTCCCGGACAGAAGCAGTAGTTCGGGAGCCATTCTTCAGTCCACCGAGACTCCGAGGTAGCCTTGCACGCATCCGCAGGCCCGTCTCCTCTATCTTATATTCATTCTGTTATCTCATGTTTTCGAGACAAACAGTGTTATATTTCTTCCAAACGATTGTATTTAGTACTCTCAGTAGTCCGTGAATGTTGTGACACCAGTTATTGGGTAGAGGCACATGTTGATTTCCGCATTTTGTTCAGCTTATATAATTTAAGTCTTCCGCTTTAATTTCATATTCCGCTGTTA